ATCGGTGGAATGCAGCAAAACAACAAAGTCGAAACATTCACATATATAGAACAGTTAAGTAAGAAATGGTTGAATTGTTTATCATCTTCAAAAAATCCTTCTGTAATTAGATATGGTATATAAAAATTTCCTAGGCATTGACAGAAATACCCAAAGGAAGGGAAGATCAGTAAGGATCAGAGCAGATCAGTCAGTATGGATAGGCAAGTGGCTTCCTCTCTTTGCCAATCAGTGTGCTGGACTCTGTACTGTTTCACAATGGTTCTACAGTACATGGAAGTCAGAAGAAGTATTAAACTCATTTTCAGTCACAAAAAGTCAAATTTATTCAGAACTCAATTGTCTGGAGTTGGAAAAGGCAGCATATTGATCAAACCTTCTCCTAGGACTATAAAGCAAACTCAGAAAATATTTAAGGTTTTTCTAAATGAAAAGAAACATGGGAAGTAATTAGTGAAAAACGTTACAAGAGAGTCTGTAAAAAGGATTCAGGGTATGTCACCATATATGAGAGAGGGGCACCTTAAAGCAAGAAAGGTATTCTTAAAAAGAACTGCACATAATTTTTGTAAGGCAGAAAAGAAAAAAAAACCCAAACGCGAGCTGTATTTCTAGTAAGAGACTTAAAAAAGGAGAAGACACAAAGTGTGATTATTCCCACGTGGTTACTTTTCACATTGTTTTCTTCACTGGATAGGAATGTAGGACCATTAAAACTGTGAGTCTTTAGGATGGCTTTAGTTAGAAGTAATGAACATCTAGGGAACCTTAAGACTGGTCTTTCCAGAAGACCACACAGCTGCCTACACCGTTCAACTTGCTATCACTGATGTATACCCAAAACCTGCAAACAAACTGCAAGAACTGGCTTCCTTAATAAGATTGACATTGACACAGTACAAGCTTATTGCTATTTATTCACCTTTCACTGCCTTAGCTGAAAAGTATTTTACCTATAATTTTTTATTTCTATTCACATGGCTCTTCAAAAAGGCAATGTTAACAAAAATTTTAGGGAATAGGAAGTTATTTCTAACTCTCTCTTGCTAAATAAAAGGTTGCTTTCTTTGTTTCTTTAGTTTTCATATTTCTCTTGAGTTCTGAAGTTCAAAATTATATCACCAACATGCAAAATCAGTCAGTCTTCCATGTAAACACTCAATGAGGTTGAAATGAGCATCACAATGTGATCATAATTTATCCTGAAATAGTCTGGTTTTCTGTCCCTAAATTGGCCTAGCAATTAAAAAATTCCAAATCTCACAACTAGTATAAACTCACAAGTGACTGCTGAGGCTCTGGATAGGCCAAGCTACTGCAAGAGTGTTACTGCCCCGTCAGCAGCCACCAGCGGCCGTATCAAAGAACCACGTGCCATGGAGGAGAGGGATAAGATAGAGGGGTATGTGCCAATCTCCATCTCACCCACAGGAACTCAGCATGACTGATCTCTAAATTACCGTTAAGATGTACTCCTCACCAATCAGAAAGTTCAAGCGTATACATAGCCATTCTCGTAGCTGTTCTTCACCGCAACACCAGGCTGCATTTTTAAGTACCTAAAATTAACTTTATACCATAAACTTCAATATGTCTAAATTGATACAGATATTCTCTCCTAATGCTCTCAACTAATTACTCTTTGCCTTTGAAGACCTTCCAGTCATAGGCAGGTTTGGTTATAAGCACTTCTATGTTTCCTTACACCAATGCTCTCTTAAAATGTCAGTCTTCTACATTTCTTACCTAATTTCACATTTGCACAGTTCTATTCTCCAAACACTATCAGCAGTACTCAACACCTAACCCTGCTAAAAGCTGGACATCACCTGTAATTGGCCAAAATCAATACCAGCCTATGAAACAGTGGTGACAGTTTCACAGCACAATTATAATCCTTGAATTTCACATTCAAATAATTACCTTGAAGTTATGAGAAATAATTGTCAAAAATGCAAATGCCTACTGGCACTTAAAAAAAAAAATAATTCACTTTTATATAGCAATATACAAAGTTGCCTCAAATAATTATATTAGCTTACAGATTGATGTGTATTTTATTTGTATTCTCTTCCATTCAATACATTATCAACACAATTCCCATTTTTTCCTGCAAGAAGGAAAGAAACATCATTCCAAGAAGCAGTGGTTCTTTGAGATGTGCTGTGCTGTGCATTCATAACATTACACTCCCCGCACTACTGTCCTATACACCCAAGTGAGCAGACTTCTAGCCTGACACGCCTATGAAGGCTGTATCATTATGTTCCATGCAAACAGCATAAAAAATCCAAAAAGTGTCAGGATAAACTATTTCTGACTCGTGCCAATATGATGTCAAGGTCTTTCCAGCACCAAGAAAATGCTGCCATGTAGTTATCACCAAATTCCCTATTTTCTGCCTTGTGAATCCTAGATTTGGCCTTTTCTGGGATGTAAAATGTACGCAATGTTTTCAAAATCAGAGCTGCAGGAGCCAGACCCTGCTGCTTGTGGGGGAAGATGCAGGAGTGGGCACGGTGAGGCACAGCAAACCAAAAAATGTGGTCGCAACAGTGATGCGAGTGGACTAAATGCAAATAAATACAAGACAGGATTAAGGGCTTGGCTGAAAGGAAGCTTGGAATAAGGCAGCACGAGACGGCAGGGAATGTGGAACACAAGAGGGATGAGAGAGGTATGGAGGAGTGACAAAGTAGCCCTCTGGGTTGGAAAACATTGGGGCACAGCTCTGGGTTGGAAAAGACTAGTGGATTAGGGCTACAGGAGCAGCAATGACCAATTTACCACAGAACTCATCCTCCCCGAGCACAGCTGACCTGGCTTTGAGGGCTGGGACAGACCCAGTACCGTCACCTCCTTCCTACCACCTTTGGCCATGGGAAGTAGAGCAGCTGTTGGCTATAGGCTTTAGGAGGGCAGCACATTTCAAAGAAGCCTGATCGCTTCGTCTTCTCCACATGTGGTCTGTTCCTGGTAACTCACTAAGAGCTGTCTGTTAAGAAGAAGGTAAGTATTTCAAGATATTCTCACAAAGATTCAGGCACAGCTCACCAAAACACCAGTGCTCCAGCCGTTAAGTAGTACTTTGCGAAGGCAGAATGCAGGTGTCAAATAGTTCCTCCGTGTCTTGTCGGGATGTATACCTTGAGGATGCCACTTCAACTTGACCTGAACCCCAAATGCTGACCCCTTCAGACTCCAAGGGCTGCCTTGAAAGTCCACTCAGGCTATCAAACAGCGCCATGCAAACTGTGGAGCTGAAAACGTAACTTCTGACCAATTCATACACAATGAACCAGTTGGGAGTTTCCCTCTAGGCTGTCTGGATCCTAGTGCTTCTGTGCAGACTATGGAAGGAGGTTTCCAGAAAGGAGCATGCAGAGAAACAAAGGAGCGGGGGGGAGCCGGGAGCCGCTACCTCTCACAGGAGCAAGTTACTGCAGATTAGCTGAACGCGGTAACTTGCTCCTGTGCGAGGCAGCAGCTCCTGCGCTTGCTCTGTTGCAAGACTGGTGGCCTGTCGTGCAGGAACAGACTGAGATTCGAAGCTCTAGGCAACAGCGCAGAGGTCAGACAGGCTTGGAAAGCAAGGAGTATGGAGTGAAAAATGCAATGTGTACAGCAGAAGGGCTGAAA